TAGAAGCAGTTCAGATCTAGAGAGCCATAGCCTCCATCAACACTGCATTCTTCTAAAAGCAGATTAGCGGCTTAAGATGAGCAACAATCTCAGGCATAGCTAAATAGTATTAATCAAGTGTAGACCTGGTCCCATAGACAGATTATATAGAGTTCCAAACATCTAGAATTCTGCATCAACTAGTATTCTCGCGTACTAATCAACTATAACGCATCCTCTGCACTGCACTCTCTGCAGCATCACATTCCTGTGGTTTTGCAGTTGATGCAGCAGCACATTCCTGTGGTTTAAGAAGAATGTGCTGCTGCAAAATGTGCTGCTAACTTCAATGGAGTGATAACTGCCAATTGAATTGGTAGTTATCACAAATAGATATTATTGCCGATATTAATTCCTCTCCAACAAATTATCTTGTATGGTAATCAAAATTGTGATTAAGACTGTGCCCACCCACTTTTGCTTCATGTAAACTCACATCAGGGTTTCTACAAAGTTTTGGCATAGTGCTCATGTAGGTCCTTATCAGTGGATTTTAAAGTTGCTTCAAAACTTGATAAAATACCAAATACTATTTTAAAAATTTCTGGGAGAGAATTTTCAATTTTTATAATTTTTCTAATACAAATCAGATACATGTTCATGTGCTGTATTATAAAAATTTTGAGATGACTCCAATAAAAATTGAATTTTTAAAATAAATTTTAAAAGTTGCTCAAAAATTATTCTAAGACCCTGTACAGGGTTTTGGCCACGTTTTGCAAAAATAACTAAGACTGGAAAAAATTTTATGTTGTCAGCAAGTTTGATCTGATTCTGACAAAAATTGAATTTATAAAGAATTGGATCAAAAATTGGGCAAAAGTACTTGTACTATAATATGGCAAATTTTGTTAGGAATGACAAGAAGAAACTTCCTCTTTTTATAATTTTTATGCATGTTCTTATTCTGTGTAGCAAGTTTGAACTTCAAATTAAGTTTCATAAATTTTTAAAGTTGCTGTACTGTATTGCAGTACCATAAATGTCACTTATTTCATCTGATGGTAATTGATGAGGCATACTAAATTTAGAAAGGCTAATACTTCCTTTTTGCCTTTGAAAATATTGGGACAAATAGAAAATTTCCAACATCAAATTTTCTATTGTATATTTTAGAACCATTTACGATACTTGATGCTTTTTAGCTCACTTAGCATGCTACATGGGAAACTCTGATTAAAGCTAAAATATAAAGATGTGATATAATTGGTGACTGTTAATCAGCTGACAGATTGTAGGGCTTTTCAATGGGTTTTTAACATAGCACTTGTTAGTGATTTTTAAATTGCTCCAAAATTGTCAAAAATCAATAGGAGAGAATTTCCCGTTTTTATAATTTTGTCTGATTTACATGTACTCTTGTTTACATGCATATACATGTTTTTGTGTTGCATAGAAAGTTTGGGCTGATTCTGATCAAAATTGTGAATTTTTGAACTTGCTCAAAATTTGCTATGAACAAAATACAATTTTTGCCCAAATTTCATCAAAAAATGGCTCGCAGAGAATTTGCCACTTTTAAAACCTTTTCTGACACATATACATGTTAGTGGTTGCATAGAAATTTTGAGCTTATTCCAATCAAAATTGCATTCTTTATTAAATTTTAAAGTTGCTCCAAAAGCCACATACCTTGTAGTGCTTGTTAGCTCATGGAACAAGCTGTTTGATAATTTGAATCTGAATTATGCTTGTACAAATATCAGATGGTTAATTGGCTTCAAGCAGAGCAGCTTCTAGTCTGGCAAATGCTAACTTTTATAAAGTCTAATTTTGAAAGTGACATGTATCACTTAATTTGTAATAATCGTACTTAAGCCTTTCGCTGTGTTAGTAGTCATATTACTTTCATTTATTTTAAGAGTTGTGGGCATAATTGTTTGAATGATTCTGGTTATGCAGTCACCAATGTAATACCTATTAATATCATGTTCTTAAATTTCTTATATTATGTGTAGTTGCATGTATTGCAGTCAGAAGTACTGTATAGGCAAATGGTAATGTGCATTAAGTTCAACTTGTGGATTAGTCACTATCAGGGTTGGAGTTGATTATAAACTAGCATGATTATAATTATGATTATGATTACACCTGGGTATTTGTGAATAATTATGTTTACGATTACCGGCAAAATTGATGATTATGATTATGATTATAATTATATGTGCATAATTATCATGTGATTATAATAAATTTATGATGATTATACAATCAGGGATATAATAGACTAACGTAACCAGGATATATGTATCCCTGATACAATGATTAGATACATTTCAATTGTTCAATATTTTGTTAATTACGATGTCTTCTGAGAACATAAATGCCAAAGAACATAAGATTAAAAGTTGCAGTTCAATTTACTGTACTGAGTAGTTAACACAATGCTGTGATACTTGATCATCATGACAAAGAACATAAATGGTTATGTTCTTTGTCATGATTATTTGTCTTTATTGTGTGATTATAATTATGATTACGATTATAAGCTTTGGGATTTGTTCGATTACAATTATGATTATGATTATGAAAAAAATGTAATTAGTTACAATCAATTACGATTATAATCGTAATTGACTCCAACCCTGGTCATTATAATTATATACAGGTACTTTTGACTTCTCCTGATAAACGAATTGCACCAGTATTGCCTATGGGCAAGTTAACCTATTGAGCGAGAAGAAAAGAGCATCAGGACTGCAAATTACAAACTCATTCAAATGATAAAGTACAAGAGAGTGCCAACATTTTGGTGAAGAAACTCAAGAATTTGTCTATTTGCTTATATTACATTCTCTAGCAACTTTAATGGCTTCATCATACTAGAATACTTCTGCTCAATTTTGTTTAAAAAACATGCCACATCATGAGACATTTGCATGGGTTTTAAATACTTGCCTAATATATCTTCAGTGAATTTCACTACATGCTTAAGCTCAGCATCATCACCATTCATGTTGTCAACAGGAAAGAACAAGTGAACGTTCTTTGGATCAATTACAATGAAGTCATTTTTGACAAAATCAGCCTTCCCAAAATATTTTCTCAATTCTCTGTCTTTCTTTTTTAAAAGATTCTGCATATTATCCCGCCCAATATGATCAATGTGTGTGGCAATGAGTATAGCCTTACAGCCATCTATCTTCCTTACCAACTTCATAGTAGCTTGAAAAGGTTTGATGTAGGTACTGTATTGTGCTGTAATGCAATGTATATCCATTGTCACCTCCAGCAACAATCTCTTTTGTCAGCTCACAAGATACATCAAAGAAAACAAAATATAAAGCTGGTCCATGGAGGATGAAAGGCAAGGTAGCAATAAGCCCAGGCTGACTACCTACATTAAATATGTGAAGAGATCGCGAGTCATAATTGGTTCGGTTTGGTAGCTGATCAAGATTTTCGGTGTCATCAAAATATTTGGATGCTGTTGATTTGAAGCTGTCTTGGGGGGTATAAGGGAGTGAGTTTGGTGGCTGATCATCATCATTGGAGCTATTTTCACTGTCTAATGACACAATACTTGATAGTCGGGCAAATAGAATAACAAGCTCTTTTGCCTGGTCATTACCATTAGTCTTAGTGACATTCATTATTTCTCCTTTTAAATGATTTGTGAGATAGTTTTCCAGACATTGGAGGTCCAGATACAATGCACTTGATAGAACATTGTACCTCTAGTGTTTTGGAAAAAAACTAGTACTGTACTATCAGTAACTACTACAGCATCCTTACCATCAATATCTTCATGATCATTGTAAGTGGTTTCAAAACTACCAGGGGCATTGTTTACCTAAAAGGAAGAATAGAAATTAATATGCAGGAAATGCATGCAGCCATCATTCTTATACTTCCATTAGTTGAACTGCATCATTAAAATTTTTAAATCTGGCTAAACTGCAATGGTGTCTGTTGGTCCTATTACAAAATTAAAGCAATATGTAGTTTAAAAAATGACTGGCAGTTATGCAACTATGAATTCTATTTCAGTCATAAACAGGAAACTCCACTGTGTGATTATCTATATACTGGTAGCAATTTTAGAAATAAAAATTAAGCAAACCTATGCAATAAATTCCATTATTTTGTACATACATGTACATACGTAAGCAGCCAGTTTAATTACCAGATAAAAATTTTACTTACAAAAATAATAAAATAAAATAATGTTAATAATTACAAACTAATAGTACAGCATTGCTAAAATACAAATTTTGATGAATCAACAAGACAGGCTTGCTGGGTTGCTTCAACAGTAGCTGGAGCAGCTGCACAAAATATAATACACTAGATCCAATTAATGAAAAGAACTTACACAAAGTAAATGGTTGGTCTTCACCAGCATCATGTCTAGCACTTTCAATAGCTCTCTTTACAGCATATAAAGCAGCACTACTCATGCACAATGGTGGCTCACCAACAGCTAATGAAAAATAATGTGACTCTAAATATGTATTTTGCAGTGACACATTAAGATAAAGTAATGTGCATCATGCTCATTAAATGTTTTGCTGTGCAAATGTCATTAACATATCTTGGATGAATCAAATGTATTGACAATAACTGTATTAACCTTTAGAGCCAAGTACTCCAGTAGGATTTGGTGCATTCTTGAGTAGCTCAATTCTAAAATCAAT